GCCATAACCACCTGGCCATTTGATTACTGATACTACAATTAAATTATTACAGAGTCACAATACTTATTAGAAATATAAAACAAAAATAGTAACAAATTTAGTCACCAAAAACAAAAATAAACAATTTTAATTGTCATTCTATATACAAGGTAAATACTACATTATTTGTCTGTAACCTACAGCAGCATTCCCTTAGAAAATATTGGTTAAATAAATCAGACTAATTTTGTCTGCGTCCATGGAGTTGGTGTGTATAATAACATAAATACTGGTTCTAGCGACAACAGGAGAAAAATAAGAATAAACGTTTATCCTATTACAATGATGGTATATGAAAAATGACCACATCTAGCCTACATTACCCCAATGCCGTGTGTTTGAATAAATCTTTAATTTCAACCTAATATGCTTAAATATTGTGTCGTTTTAGGCAAACGCATTCATTCATTGGAATGACCAATGATAAAAAAAAAAATCCATACGTTGGTTTGAAAATTATTCTTACTTTTATACTGTCTAAGGTATAAATAATTCATGCCGATGAACATGATATAAACTAATAACTTAAATATGTCTTAGTGTTATTTTACATTTAATAACCTTCTTTGTAAATAGACCTTGCATTACATGGCCCGGTGGTTAGGATGCAGAAACGAAACTCATCACTAAACATGTTCGTCCTTTCAGCCATGGAAAATGTTATAATGTGCGGTTATTCCTAATATTCGTTGGTATAGAGAAGCACAAAAGTTGGCGGTGGGTGATGTTGGCTAGGCGCGTACCTTCTAGTCTATCACTTCAAAATTAGAGATGGCTAGCATAGAGATCTCTCGAATAGTTTTGTGCAAATTCAACAAATAATCAAACAAAACCTTGTAGCTACCTTTGTTGCCCAACGACTATGTTTGGTCAAGATTAGTGGGAAATATAAACCACAAATACATTGATGGCAAAGTAAACTCGTGGGGGGGGGGGATTTCGTCATATGGATACAAATGTTAGTATTATTTGTTTTAAGAGCCCACTAAAATATGTTATTATAATATGTTAACTACACCACAAATGTCATATGAGTTGTCAATGAGTGTGACTTTCTTCTGCCGAATGATGGCGGCTCTCGATAGGATCAATGAATTGGGAAGAAGGTAAGCCCTCTATATTCCGTCTTTTCCTTGTAAATGATAATGGTATGGTCATCTTCCTTCTGAAACCTTCTGTTGTTCTCATTTCTTCAACCTCTTTCTTCACTTTTTTTTTTCGAGAAACTATAATGTTAAATCGAGTGTTGTTCCTCGAAAAGCCCGTTTCCGTCTCCTTTGCCTTTCTTTCATTACTTCCGATGTTAGATAATTTGGTTTTGATATTGCCTATTTTTCCTCTGCAACCTGATACTATAGGTTATCATCGTGGTATAACTCAATGGGATAAAGAATATAACCATTCTATAAAGTTTGTAGGACCCTTTATCGGCATTTGTTTCGATCTGCTTTAAAGCCCAGACATAGAAATACATTTCGGGCTGTAAGCAACTGTATTGGGACCAGTTTTGCTCTTCTCTCTGTCTGTCTCTCTCGCTTATACGAAAAAGATTTTTTGGAAATACTTGTGTATTTATGGACTGATCGAAAAATGTATGTTATTGGTTACTTGGAGTGTCTTCTGTGTTGGCGTCACAATTAATTATATGATCGTGTCTTCTCTGTTAAAAAGGAAAAACGAGTTTGCTCTTCCAGAATTATTTACACTCATGGAGTACCTTAGGTATTTAAACATAATCTTTCATCGTTCAATAGAATGCTGAGTGACTTGGAAAACTTTCTTAAACATGTATGAATCTTTGCTGCCGATGTTTCCTTGTAATGTCAAAACTGTAACCAAGGGGTTTTATGTCACTTCTTACAAAGTTAAACCTTGAACAGTTTAAATAATAAGACTTGTCTTCGCTTTTTCTTAAGTTTAATATAATCAATTTTCTTATTACAGAGATGTTTCTATTCTCTCTGTACGTACTAGTAACACAGGTACTTATTTTGTAAGTGAATACCAATATTTGTGTTTACTGCCTGATAAATTATAGTCTTGGAGACCTCACATTTCCTCTTCGGTTGCTAATTACCAAATACTTCCTAGTTTTTTTTTCTTTCATGGATATAATTTTTCACTCTCATTTTCTCTCTGCAAACTTGAATGTTCAGAACATTGCTTTGAAGATTTGTTTTGGTCATTGAACTGTACTCCTACTCTTAGATTATGTAGTTTGACATTTTTGGCTCTTCACAAACAGTACTCTATTGGTCAACACGATTTTAAATCATTATAATGTAATGGGGAGAGCCTCTTGGGTTACTCGGATAACCATATCTTCATAAATCATAAAAGGTTCTTCTCCCTGTGTTAGTGGTCTATACTAACATACTCATTTCTTTTAGTTAATAACCTTTTCTTCTGTAGCTTATATGGTAGTCTGCATATCTTTAATATTTTTATAAAATTTTATGGTTTTTGCTTTCCTTATCCGACCTTTTGATGTGGCTTTATTGTTTAACTTATTTATATGAATGGCGCATGCGATTTACCATATTTCTGAAAAGACGGCCTACGCATTTGTTATATGTTCACCCAATGAATTTGATCAAATCTTATCTTCTTTCACATTGTCTTGATAGCTTTATGCATTTATAATAATCTTATATGTATTTTTCGTGTATTCTAATGGCTTGACACTGTCCTTCAGAGAATGTCTTTGCACAGATCTTTCCTTTCTCTGACTCTTTAAGCAGACTTTTCAGTATGACTCAAATAGACAAGTCCGTACTCATCCTTCTCTGTTTTGGGAATGTGGTATACTGTCATATTGTTTGGAACACTTGGTGGATAATTTGTTGCTAATTTCTAGTCATATTTACAACAAATGGTAATGATTTAGCTACCAAGACTGATCAAACGACTTTGCCTTATACTTATCCGTCTATAGTATTATATATATAGATAATCCGTTTCGTTTTAGTCGATAGAGTAAAAGGCATTTGAATGCAACTTTGATCAATCTCTTCAGCTGGTCATTTCACTAATACCCTCTTTCTCTTGTTGCCATGTTTCAATTGTATCTTGTACCTTGTTGTGTAAATTATACTATATATATAATTTTGGGAAAGTTCAATTTCTACTCTGCTTTCTCTTTTGAAAGATTTATTTAAAACACATTTCTCATCTATCCTGCTCACGCTCTTGTATGTCTGTTTTCCAGTTTTTATATATTTTTGTACAGCTTAATTTGATTTACTGTTTCTCCTCTATATTAGGTAGCGTTTTTGTGCTACCTTCTGTTATCTGAAGCTTTACTGGAGTATTATATTTTTCTTAAAGTTTCTCTGAGATGATTTAAAAGGGTGTAATCTTGCAATAAGACAGCGACACCAGTTATAAGACTTTTTTCTGAGTAACCATATTATTTCCACGTTTTACAGTAGTATGGCAGGTTCTCTATTCTTTAATAATTATCCTAATATCAGAATCATAATTCACGTGCACAGGATGAGAGAGAGGGAACGGAAATGTTTTATATGGGAGAAAAAGTTTTAAGAATCACCGCGGCAAAATCATGAGCATTGCAGTATAAATTTGACATTTTTACTTTTTTTTTCTACTTGACACTTGGATAGGGATTTCTTTTAATAAGTAAAAAAGTACCAAGGTTCATTGTATTTCTTCATACGTTTCTAAATACAGAAAGTAAATAAAAATTAGTTATTTTACTAAAAGATAAATTTGTGTAAAATTTTCAAAATTTGCATCAAGATGATTTTAAACTACACTTCAAATGATTTTTTAGCAGTTTCCGGATATGATGTGGGGCAATATAAGAAGCTTTTTCCGGTTTACAGTGTCTATGGGTGAAGGCATAGAAGCTGTTATGTTTATAGTATTAAATTTGTACATGTATCGAACATTTTCGCATCTAACATGGATGATGCTAATAGTGAGAATTCCATCACAGATTTCAAAAGCCAGGTATTGTAGTTTTTATATAGTTTTAACACAACTTGTTATAAAGTTCACGTAAACCGTTATCAAAATAACTATGATAAACTCAAATGTACGTGTAATGATTGTTTTGACGCCATATTTGTAGCGCAAATCTATGTCGCCCTTTGTAGGTCAGCAATCTAGGAGCCCAGTATGGGCTGCTTTAAACTTTATTTAATTTAGGATGTATCAATTTTATTAAAAGTACTCAGTGTTTTGGATTTACTTTATATACATTGTTAGTTATCATAGGCAGTAAACTGTGTTTTTATGGCATGTGTTTGAAATTGAAAAATGCCGTTATTGTAAGTTATAACGTTAGAACATTTTTTTTGGTAAGACTTGACATTCTTTCGTCAATCTCGGCTGGTTCTTTCCCTCTGTAAAGTGTAAACGACTAATAGTTACAGCAGTAATGAATAAAACTAAAAAGTAAAATTCAGGTTATACTAGTACTTTAGTGAACCACGATGAAGTGACAGCTATCACTGTCAGCATCATAAAGGAATTCAACTGTTTCAAAGTGTCAATTCACTGGCATAATGCCTCTTGTTTCCATATTGTTTAATCACGTATTTATTTTGCTTTGGTTCATCACCATCCTTAAGGCTTAATTATTTTCTTAGTTAATTATATAGTTTTAAAATCTTATTAGAGTTAAAAAGGTCTCCCACTGGCGGCAATCTTTTTGCACTTCCTTAATGTAAATATATAAAAACTTCTAGTTATATGTTCCACTTCTAGTCTAGTTTAATCTTTATGTTTTAAAGAAGAATGACTTTTTACTTTTAGTCTAGTTTCTTAGATTTAACAATACAAATTTTCCAGAATTGTTTATATTCGTAAACCATTGCTTCCTTCATGTTCAAGACTTTTCACTACAACTACTAGTACTAGTTTACAGTGCTTCTATTATGTATTGTAGTTTAGATGGTTTTCATTATTATTCTAAGTATGAGTAGTTTAATTCCTCTTTTAAGTTTAACCTATATACTGTAGTCATTTTATGAAAAATATTGTGTTAGAATACATTAGAAGGACTTAACTATAAATTAGCCAAAGTAAATAACCATCTCATCTTCCTACATTAATGTAATAATGTAATTCCTAAAGGACTTAAGGTAAAATTATATGTCAACACCCTGCAATCTCAAATATTAACAATAATTTAAAGCTTTACTTCAAGATAGGATCAGGTATTAATTTATGACACAGAATAACTAATGATCTACAGTAGAAGAAAGAGAGTACAATAAACAATTCAGATTGTCAAGATACAGTTGCTCAAACTTCATACCAACATACACACATTCATGTACTAAGCAAATTCATTAATTGATTCACAAAAGGAGCTTCCTAGTACTGCAGTTATACCTAAACACACAGTAAACTTAAGTAAACAACCATTAGTAAAACCTGAAGAAATTTTACTAAGTAGAGCACCGAATTTTGCCCTAACTACAACCAAAGAAGTAGAAAAATTCTCAAAATCAAAATAAAATTGGCAGTCCCGAAAGCTATGAAATGTAAACCCCACTCTAATACCATCCTAACAGAAAATACTGTTTCACGAACTTAAAAGACAAAAGAAATTCCTCATGAACAAAAAGGAATACACCCTCAAGTTCCAAAATCTAGTTCAACATGTTTCACTACATTAATTCTACCCAAACTTTTAACCCTGAGAAAAAATTAATCAACTCCTCAAGAAACATCAGAAAGAACTTTGAAGAGAAATAACTAATGATACACTACACATCTATGGTTTACTTAGGTTACTCTATCTGTTCCACTTTTAACTGCAGAGATTCCCATGTCTCCCATTAGTTAGATTTGTTGGCATATAATTCCATTAACAAGTGAAGATTTTGAACGAAATGGAACAGTTGCTCTGAGCCTCAGTATTTGGTTCAGATGTTAACGATACATTGGTGGTATAGCCACATATTACAAAGAAGATCCAAAATTCGTAAACAGAGCTGTGTGATTAGTGGGATTCTATAATCAATTAATCATCAGACTCTTTAATCAGTTGTAAACATTCAATTAATTGATTATTCTTACATGAGACTCGGATAGTTGGATTAATTGGAAACACTGGTTAATGAAACTAACTAAATGGTAAAGAGTGTAAAGATAAATACTAAGACTAAGCAGGAAGAAAATTATAGCCAAGCAGCTATTTTTCCCTATATTGGAGGTTTCTTTGAAAACACATGGAGGATATGCCAACATAATAAGCTCAGAATGGAAGCTGCAATACCATACAACTGCATTTAATACACACCAAACCATCTTTATGCCCAAGGGAAAGGAATAACACTGCTTGCAACATGCCTTGTAAAAGTAGACTCCAATACATTGGATGAATAAAAATAACAGTGCAATTTAGAATTCAGAAGCATAATAGACAAACAAGAGTCTGTAATACTGACTTATCTGCAACAACCCATTTTGTCAGAGAAGAAGATTTTAAGATCAAATGGAATTACAAACTACCCAAAAAAGTAATAGCTGTTTATATCTACCTAAGTGATACTCAATCTAGAATAGAAGTCAGAAAACCTGGATACGCCTCTTGAAAGCATTGATATAAGTTATTTGATTCAAGTCCTAACTGAGGAGTCCCAAGATTAATGGATAGCAAACAAACTTCTCTCTCTACAAAACATAGGATTGAATCCCAGGTGCTAGCACCACAGAAATAGGCTTTCTCAGAAATTCCCTGAAAATAGCAACTAATTAGAAACTAAGATGTAGGATAAAATTAGGTTACAATTAGTATCAATAAAATAAAAAAGTAACTAATTAATGGTTAGAATTGGGTGTTCATATATGCCGCTAACCATGACAGCAAAGATTATGTTGCTTTTTGTTGTTTAGTTCTACCATCTGTAGAAAATGATATTGACACATCATAAAAAAAGAAAAGACAGTTGGTAAATTCAAAATCTTATATCAACACATACAACTACAGGTATTACTATATACAACTGGGAGTGAAAATAGAGACTTACTAATGAGGGACTGTCCCCCTTTGTTTAGTGAGGTACCTATTACAATTTTTGTAAACATTTCCCCCTACCTGTGCAATAAAAGTAACATCAATAATATGAATTAGATAAATTAGGCCAACAAATACATATTTCTTTAATTGTCATAGGTGTAAGTTCATTAAATCTATAACTCAATCAGTTACATAAAATATATATACAGTAACTTATCTTACATAACTTATAAAACTTTGCCCTTCATTAGAAATAAACATAAATCATAAATACACTTAACATTCATAAATGTCACTTTATATATAAGAGATGCACTTAAAAGTTTAGAATTTTACACCTCCCCTATGTTTTAAAGATTTCAAGCTTCGTGCATAGTTCTAAAAATCATAGTTCTCATCAATCTAAGTAGGTAGGTTTAATGCTCGGCAGACCTACTCAAGGGTAGTTGAGGTCTAAGATCATAGATGAATTCCAGCAAAAGACATTTCTTTTCAGTTATTTGACTACTACCAGTTAGTTTTATATTCAGTTCTGGTCCCAAATCTAGATTAGCTGCTGAAGAGAAAAATCTATTTGAATATCCTGCATTCACAACTGAAGTGTTTTTGGAACTACATATTCTAGCCTAATCTACATCCCATTCCAAACCAAGAATAGCTATAGAAGACCCAAAATTATATGCTTCTCCTCCATGCTGTATTGATATCATCTACTCTAGATCTATTGTAGAACATGCGAGAAATACTTTTCTTTGCCACTCTCAAAGTTACTTACTGCCTCATTGCCTACCTGGGATGATCAGATAAAAAAGAATGGTGGTTAATATGTATTTTCTTAGCCATAGTCATCTTACGTGGTTAATTTCTAGTCCAATATTGCACTTTTTAGCTTACATTAATTACTCCAACATTAATACCTTCTAGAACTTTAAAATTGCTGATAGTGGGTTTCTGAGACTTGACCGATTTAAAAGTATGTTGTTCAGGCATATTATGAAAGCTCATGTAACGAAAAACATGTCAAAACTATAAATATCACAGTATCGGAAAACTGTATTACTTGTACAGGAGAGAAAATGGTAAAAAGCAGTACACTACTAAAGAACAGTGGCACAAATCCAAAAGTATCATATAATAAATAAAATACTACTGCAATAATATCAGATGTACAACAAAATAAACTATTTGTAATACTAAATGATAGAAAAATAACCCACACAAATTTATCACTAAATATTGTTGATATGTGTGTTACTAGGAGTAAAACCCTCTAATACTTAGTGTCATATTGACTTGTTGCTAGGGCATAGTTGTGTAAATGATGTACTGGTACTTATGAAGTTGGTTTGAAAGATATGAGTAGAATCTGTCTCGAATAGATGTTGTCTTGCAGTTATTTGCAACTCCAATTTTTTATGTCAATGTTTTGCCAGAAGTTATAGTGGCATATAGTAGTGTGTAGAGACTGTCAGCCCAGAGTTTAACTAACTGTGGATATTGCTGTAGAGCTAACAGTTATAGTCTGGTAGTGTACATGTAGTGTCATATAGTGTGACACAAACGTATGGTCCAGAAAACCATCCAAGTTGTCTTTTCTACTTGCATTTGTGTCTTATCTCTATAGCAGATATCTATGTTGAAAAGGTCAGCAATTGCAACACCCTTTCTGGCCAAGTGGATGTTTTCTCTATGTTATAGCCAATGAATGCTATGAAAAAATGACCAATCAGAAGGGATACGAAATACCAGTCAAAAAGGATAAGAGCTTTCTTGCAAGATCAAATCATTTATTTTTTCCCAGTTCTACTTGGTGTTCATATAATGACTAGTTCAGCATAGATTCATTTTGAAGGATGAAAATTTGATGATCTATTCATTTACCCAGTTGATGCAACAATAACACTTTACTCAAGTTCATACCATTTTTTTTTTTTTTATAAATAAAGGTTATTTTCACTGTCCATCAAATGTGTCAAACCTGTTTATTTCTCACACAACTTAAAATTTAACAAAGTTTATAAATTCAGATTACCATGCAAATTTCATGTTTAATCGTTCTGTTAAGTCGACCGATCTGATACTAGCATGGAAATCAGTTTAGTTGAGAATATCATGCCTACAAAGGATTTGCAGCCTTACCACAATCTCTTGTTAAGAACAGTTACACCAGTTGCTTGGCTCTGTTGGAGAAGGATGGGGTACAGTGTATTGGTGAGAGATATGTTTAGGCTTACTGTTCTGTTGGAAATGGTGTTGAGATATTGAATTTGATATGTTAGTTTATTGAGTGTTATGTACAAGTTACCAATCAACTCCATCAATGATGTTATCATGGAGGGTCTGGGGTAGGCAGATCCCTTGGAAATTTGCATTGAATAGGTTGAGAAGAAGCTAAAATAAACACTTGTATGTTTCTTTTGGTAGTGCATTGGTTATAGATTTTATCATATTATATAGCTAAGATTATGGTCAAGTCTTGACATAGTATTGATGCTATTGCCTGTTCATAAAATGTGCTGCCTATCTCCAAAGCTATGCTCAGAGAGTTAGTTTCATCTATAACTTTACCTGATGTTACAAAATACGTTGTTAAGATTTCCATCCATTTTACTGTTTTCTTATGTAACAACATACATACATAACATAACTGTTATGTAGATATAATGGCAAATGCAATTGATAAGTATTGAATAAGTAACAGCTAAGTAACAAAGTTGTTTTGAAGTAAAATTGCCCCTTAATCACAGAAATAATTTATATTATTGACAAGATTACACTTGTGTTTAAAGAACAACTTCAAATTACATTTGGGTTGTTTGGATAGGAATACAACAGTTGCTGCTGTTTTCTCATGCTATTCAAATTTGTTTATTTTGCCTTCTTACTGTAACTCTTGCCATTGGTTTTGGACAGCCTTCAGATATTTCCCAAATTACTTTTCATTTTAATTGTTCATAATTTTTTTTCCTTTTGTGACAACATTTTAAAAAAAAATCATAGCTATTATGAAATAATGTTTTTTTTGTATTTCTTTGAATGATCTAATCAGAGATTTTCAACACTTCTTCACATTGACAATTTTGTAAAGATTTTCTTTACGAAGAAAATGTGCAAAAGCAATAAAGTATGTAAGAAATGGTAACAGACTGAGTTACAGATGGAAATAAAACATAGGATATGATAGTACAGAAACTGTATAGAATTGCTGTCTGGTTGAGTTGAGTAAGCCCATATACTTGGTACCCATACTCAGTACTGATTTTATAAATGACCAACATTGTAGGTTATCCCACACTACTGAAACAGTCTTATTTGACATAATAACTTATCATGATTAGTGGAAAAGTTTAGGTTATTTTCTCCTGATCTTTCACTGGATTTACAATGAACAGAGTAATTTCTGTGTGTATGAAATATTTAAAATTTTGATTCCAATCCTTCTAAACTATACATATTTGCAAACTAAATCTAATTGTTTGGCTTTATTACCTTCTCTTAAAAGCTACATCCATTTAACATAGTGGACTTCACTTGTAGCTGAATGATAAGTGGTATATATAATAAACAGTCAATCGACAGGCCCGTTAATTGATTGAAACAGTGTTTCTTCATGTGAACAAAAAAAATTGCCCAAGCAAGAATTGACAGTGGTTGTTGGCAGCCAGCTTCATTCCTTCTAGTCAGCAGTTTAAAGTTAGTCACAGTGGCAAATAACCTTAGTAGCTTTGTTATAACAGTGAAAGGAGTAGCAAGTTTGGTGGCAGTGGAAACTTTACTACTGTATCAGAAGAGCTGTTTCTTTTCAGTTAAAAATACTTGAGCCTAGTTGGGTTGCTGTAGTAGACCATTGTACTTAACAACAAGATCAGACTTACTTCTGGACCCTACTTTATATTCCTTTACTTGACCTTCAGATTCCTGTATCCTTTACAGCAAAATGAAGTGGGAACCTTCTTGTGGCTCCTGATTCTTTTATCTATTTCCTTTTATTATTCAGTATTCTTTTCTATTTTAGTTTTGATAGCTGAGATTGCTTGGTATATAATTTGCCCATATTGCTTTTGTTTTAGGATTCTTTGTCTTGCAATGTTTGGTTCTTGTGCATTGACTTCAAGACAACTCTTTACTGCTTTGGTATTGTTTGAGGCTTGAAGTGATTTTTTTCTCGTAATAGACCACATTTCCCACAGTCGATCTATCTGCCTTCTTGTAATATCAGTTTTGTATTATCTGTGAGCAACTATCTAATTAGACATAGCATTGCAAAGTAGTATGAAAAAAAAAGTTTAGAATCTCTTTAAAAAAAAATGTCAGAAAACTTAAAATTCACATTAGAGCCTAAGGTATGTATATTTTTGAGTTTCTCTATTACTGATTTGTTTTGTTCTGAAAGTGAATATCTTGCATAGGTTTGGTTTTTGTCTGTTTCGCTAAGGTTTTTATTATATTCAATCTCGTGTCAAGTTTATTCTTGTGACTTTCTTTTGGCAGACATTTGATGAAGCTTCTTCTCTCTCCTTTTATCTTTCTGAAAAATTATCATTTTCACGATTACGTTGAGATGCTGTTTGTTCCCTCGGGACAGAAATTTAGTTATTTTCTATAATTACCAGTCTTTAATTTTCCTCTCCATTTTCCTTTAGAACACCACAGGCATAGTGCTCTATCTTGATGTAGAAATTGGCATTTTCCTGTTTGTTTTGCTTTTATTCAGCCCAACTTTACATTTAATGTATGGTCAACATCTTTTAGGATGTGCGAGGTATGAATTCCATAAGAGGTTTTTCAGAGAAGCCATTTTACCTTGTTTGCTTTGTTCTTTATTATGCAAAGCTTGGAATAAAGAAGAACAGCTTTATTTTATTGTTTCTGTATTGTTTTCTATCCCATCCATGCATGAAATCACTTTTTTGAGATCAATTTGTCTTTCCTGCAACCTCCATTAGTTGGCCTAAGATTTTCTTTAAAGGATTTCTTCAGCTGTTGGCATTATCTTATGAAAGAAACTTTGAGTCGCACTGTAAACTGCAGCATCTCATGTTTCCATGGCAGTGCAGCTCACTATCCATTGGAGATTTGTGGCCGAGTACTGCATAAACCAGATGTTACCTTCTGCTCTAGAAGAATTTATGGGTTTATTGTAGTGCAGTAATCTTATTAAATAATAAGAAACTCATCCTTATATCTACCATTTAGTGCTTGTTTTCTGTTTGGATTAGACTACCCATTGCATACTACCTTTATTTTTTGAAGACTGCATGGACTAAGTAGACTGGCCCCCTGTGGGTCTCAGGAAATTCCTGGGCACTTGTAAAAACTGCATGGACTAAGTAGACTGACTCCTATGGGTCTCAAGAAATTCCTGGGGATCTGTGAAGACTGCATGGACTAAGTAGACTGGTCCCCTGTGGGTCTTAGGAAATTCCTGGGCACCTGTGAAGACTGCATGGACTAAGTAGACTGGCCCCCTGTGGGTGTCAAGAAATTCCTGGGCACCTGTGAAGACTGCATGGACTAAGTAGACTGACCCCCTGTGGGTCTCAAGAAATTCCTGGGCATATGTCTCAGTTGAAGCAGTGGTATCCAAAACCTCTTATGGCTTCAAAATCATAAAGCATGCTTCTCATCTTTTCGTTTGTAACTTAACCAACCTGGAATAATCTTGTGAAAATAACCCTATTTTTGTGCCATTTACTTGTCAACCCTCTGAGCAACCTCTTTTTCCTGTTTAATACTGAATTATGGGCTGCTGTATCAACGGTCACTCTTTCCCTTTTAGGATACTACCATCTTTTCTCTTGTAGAACATTCTTCATTTGTAATGTGGTTATTTTAGAGTTAAGATATGTGTGAGGTTAGTATGTAAAATACTAACAAAAAATTAATAATAAAAGTTCCAAAACAGACCTTGATTTAGGAGTAGTATTCTTATTAGAACTCATTCATCAGTTGTTTTTGTTTTTTTTCCAAAGATTATGATAAGAATATCTATAAATGTTTTTGAGAAACTATTAATAAAGTATTCTTAGATCTTTTAAGACTTTGGTATGATAACCCTTACACAGTGAAATCACTAATAGTGGAAACTGAAGACATCAAACTTCTTAGGTCTAGGAGTGTAGGCATTTGTGATGTTATCATTTTAGTAACACTGCTCTCGATGATAATAGATGTTTTATAAGTAAAAGACCATATTGTCATGCTCGTCAGTTAAAATTATTAAGGGGAGTTGAATATGGATACTTTTCTTTATTATTATTCTCACTCTGTACCAAATGATAACTTTCACCCACTGAAAGTTTGAAATCTTTGAACTGGATGTCCAAGGTTTTTGATTAACAACTTATTGTTAGACAACAGAATGTTGCTAGATGATAATGTTTTGTAATATACATGTAGAGCCATTGTTTTGGGATCAGTATTGTATTAAAACTTTAAGAAGAATTATGATGGAGTAGATGCATTGCCATTCTGTTGATTTGTTTTGCTGTTGTATATGTATATTTTATTACTTGTTGAATGTGGGCTTAGTAATCTTACATTACAGTTTGTGTTTAAATGTCACAATTTATTCCTTCTTTAATTCCAGTTGAGCACTGTTGCAGACAGTTTTCTCAAGTTGGCCCCAGATCAGCAGTCTGAAGCTGTGAAGCTTATCCAAGGTCTTCAGTCAGTTCTAGTCAACCAGTTACCTATTGATAATGATTCTCAAGACATCTCTATGTTGGAAAAAAAACAGATAGGGGAGCATATCAGCAGTCTTCTTTTTCAGAAATTAAATGGTTCTTTTGTTGCGAGTTCTGATTCATCTACATGTGATAATAATGCCTTTAGTCAAGAGGTCAAGGCTGATAACAGAACTTCTGAAGAACTTTGCCTCGGACCCTCTGCCATGTCTCCAAAGTTTGTTACTGAGCTACATAAATTCTTAAACACAAGGACTTTTGAAGTACAAGATCATTCAGACATTACTGAGAAAACAAACAAACCTCCAGAAGAGGAAATTAGAGAAAAATGTGATATTATGCAGTTTGCAATTGAGGCAAAGAATTCCAGTGTCTTACACATCAATTCATCAGACTTTAATAGTCTTTTAACAAAGAACATTGAGATTTCTGAATCACAAACACAACTTCAGGGGCAGAATGTTTCATCTAGCTTTAGCTCTTTAGGAGCTGATACCTCAGAAATCTCTCAAGCAAAAAATATGCCATTAATCCACGTTTGTGACGTTGGTTTTGCCAATACAAAATGTAGCAAATGCAACGTAGAAGAATTAGCCTTATTCCAAAGCCCCAATAATAACTCCAGACAGCATTGTAAGTACATGTTTAGAACATTGTGTCAGATGCATGTCAGCTATTTAAGTTTTATAGAAACTTATTTTCTCTGAAAGTTATTAAAGATGTTCGGAACTTCCTTGAAATAAAAGCTTCACTATTAGTTCTTGTGTATATCCTCATTGAGAAAAAACTTGATTGAGTGTGAAACATGTTATTTTAACCTTCATTATTTCTTAATAATAATAACTCGTAAAACATCAATAAATAATACAGCTAAAACAAAATCAACTTAACATGGTAATGTGATGTTTTATGTTTCTGAAACTTATTCATGCTATTGGATAAATGTTGTTGAAGAGTCATATCCAGGGTTTTTATCAGTTTCTCCAACTAAAACATAACTTTTGAAACTTTAAATCTACCTTCGGCATTGGAGTATTGTAGATTGCATCATATGAAAACAACAACAGAATACGCTTTTATTTTCAAGATTTTACATTGAAACAAAAAATTATGATGACGATGGTTTTAGAAACATGGCTTATGGGCTAAATTTAGCCATTAAGACTATTAAATGGTATCAATATTGTAAATAATAGTGATATATCTACTTAAGAAAGGTGTAATCTAAGTGATAATTAATAATAAACATTTTTGTATATTCCTTTAGGTAGTCAAAAGGCTAGTCTAATAAAAGGTTATGAAGAAACAGTCACACCATTAGCAAAGTCTTTATGTGTGTCTGAAAGGCCTATTAATTTTTCAGAAGAGAAAAAAATCCTTCCTATAGAAAAGAACTGTGTTAATGCAAAAGTAAAAATTACAAGTGAATCACCTAGGAATAACAAAGATTCTGCCAAAAACATAAAGGTGTCAAAAAATGTTAATTTAAATGTTGAAGATTCTCAAAAAGTAGTAAAATGCAAGCCGAAAAAGACAAAAACTAAGTTGAGTTCAAACATTCCAGAAAGTGTAAAAACTATAGAAAAACATAATAGCAAAAAGGATAAAACTGTACTGACAGTTTCTAGTAGAGGCCGGCCCGTTAGACAAAGATTGTACTGCATAGGTGAATTGTTTTCAGATGATGAAAAATTTAATGTAGGTCGATCAAATTCTTCTGAGAAAATTACTTTAAAGTACAAAAAATGCCCACAAGTTTTGACTAGACACAAGTTAGTGAAGCAGAAGTGTCGCAGAAAGACTGTGATCATTTCTGAAAAAAAACTGATAGTATCTTGCAGGTTGTGTAAAAAGAGTTTTGACAACCTTGACAGCTTAAAATTCCACGAGTGCAAGCCTAACTCAATACCAGAAAATAGCAGAGTTTTAAACTGTGAATTGTGTGGTCTTCAGTTTTCTCATCAACAACATCTTCAGAAACATATACAAGGTCATGAACGTAATAACTGTAGGATTTGTAATGCTAAGTTTACGAAAAAAAAAATCCTCTGCAAACACATGAGAACTACCCACAAAATTGCTGAACCTGAAAAGCTCTATGAATGTCCATTTTGTGAGCGCCATTTTTTTAAACGACCTTCACTTCTTTCACATTTAAAGGAACATGCAAATGGAAAAATAGTTTGTAAAAAGTGTGGTGAAATGTGTGAAAATGAAGAATCTTACAGTTGGCACATGGAAAAGCATTTGGAAGAGTACAAGTTTCATTGCAGTCAGTGCAATGAAAGCTTTGCAAGACGTCAACAGTATGAGAAACACATGTTGGGTCATGAGAAACATGGTTGTACTATCTGTGGAAGTAACTTCTCAACAAAGAAATACCTTATTAAACATCACCAGGTTGTTCATAATATTCATGTGAAAGAGGAAAAAAAACATATCTGTACAACTTGTAATAAAAGATTTCACAGACCAACTCTACTCAAAATACATCAGCGAGTCCACACAGGTGAAAAGCCTAACAAGTGTTCAGAATGTGACAAAAATTTCCGCACAGCTAAGGCATTATCAATCCACATGAAAACAGCTAGTCATTTAAAAATTGCTGGTAAAATTAATGTAGAGAAAGTGCAGTTAGAGAAGCCATATCTTTGTGCTCAATGTGGAGCAAAGTTTTGCGCTAGACAAGGACTGCAGCGTCATATGCAGCAGCTACATTGTGATCTTAGACCTTTTGAATGTCCATATTGTGACTATAAATGTAAATGTAAAACGAACTTGAAACGCCATATAGAATTCCATACTGATAAAAGAAGATTTGTATGCGAGTTTTGTGGAGCTTCTTTTCATGCATTTGCAACTTTGAAAGAGCACAATGCATATGTTCATTCTGATGTAAGAGACTATGTATGTGAACAGTGTGGAAAGGGATTTAAAGGCAGGAGTGGTTTAAAAAGACATATGAGAATTCACAGTGATGCCAGACCATACCTTTGCTTCTGTGGTCAGTCGTACAAACGAATGTCGCATCTGAAGAGACACATGATTTCTTCTCATCACATGCAGTTTAAAAGCAAAAGAGTGAAAAAAATTTATTCTGAAGATTGTTCTGATGGGGAAACCAATCTTAGTTCCCATGAGCTGTCAGAACTTGCAGGAATTTCAGAGGGGGACCTGAATGAAACTTGTGAAGGTTTAACTGTGGTTTTGACAAACACTGGTGGTTTGGCTCTGACACAGTTACCGTGGGAATTGGATGACTACATTCTTCTCAAAGTACCAACTCCTCAGGAGAACTTTGAAGTATCCTCTTCACTGCCAGATACTGATTCCAAGTGTGTAGCTTCTACATATTCAAAACAGTTTTCTACAGTACTGTCATCTCCTCTGGTGTCTCTGATACAGAATCAAGGACAACCAACTCATACATTGAATGTTTCTGATGCTGATAATAATTTAACAAGGCCAGAACAACCTACCCTTTCATCCACTTGCTTTGAATTGCCAATTATACAGGCATCATCACAGCATTCTTCATTGGTTTTATCTTCAGGTGCAGAGTCACATTTTGTTCCTCCTTCAGCTTATTCATTGATTTCTAACCCTACTGTCAATGATACCAACTCTTTAGTTACTCTGTCAGTCACAGAAGATGTCTCTCCCAGTTCTCTCACAGGTTTCACATTTAGCCATTCCAGTCCTCATAATCCTACTTCCAAAGTTCATGACAGTCCTCTGCTTTCTCTTCTCTCTAAGGAAGATGGAAAAACTTATGATTTTCATTTGTATGATAAGCTAGAATCAGGATTGTTGACTAATCGTCAATTGTCTGATTTATCTCAACGCCTCCTTCCAGTTGGTTCTCATCAAGATACAGAAAACACAACCATTGTGTGGACAACACTTTCAGACCAGACAAACCCTGACACAACACCAGTATTAGATGTTGATCATTGTAAAGACAATTCAGTTAGTTCTGATGTACTCAAACTGTGTTCTTCCCAACTTCCACAGGTAACTTCCAACCTCTTCAGCTGTGCTATCCCAACCGTTTCAGAGCATCAGATTAGTCCAGAATTGTCAACACAACAAGATATTGTTAGTTTTGACACAGGAGTTCACCAGTTTGTCTCCATGTGAAGTTTCTAGTAGATGTTTCATCAGATATATGACTGAAAAGTGAAATAAAATGGAGGAATTTTAAATTAAATTTTTTTGGTTTAGTGTTTTCAGTGAATCTACATTGATGGTGATAATTTGTATAGTTTATGAATTCATCATAACTGCCTTGTTTCTCAGACTTATAAAGGAAGGGTATACTCTTTTAGTTCAATTCCTTCATATGTAGCAATATCAAATTATACTTTAAATATTCTAGTTTATTATCTGTTGAAATGTTAATATAGATTTACTGTATGAAATTATGATGTTTTGTTTTAGGAGAACAAGAGAATTTCTTATGGACTTGAAATTGATGAAAAACAGTTTATGCATTCTATATAGTAATTATTTGTACAGAACAAGATCTTTCAAATTTTCTGCTTTCACTGATTTTAAGTGGTAAGAAGAGATCCACGTACATGATATATCATGACTGTTCACAGAGTTTTACTCTTTAAATGTCCTCCCTTTAAAATATATTATCATCATTGGTATCCCAATGAGTTATTTGTTTCAAATGTTCTCTTACAAAAGACGTTCATACACTGTTATTGTGCTTGTCCATTGGTGCTGAAAGTGTTGTTGTCTGTGCATAATGAATATCAGTCTTGTAGGGAAAAACATTAACAATATTGTGAAAGAGTGATGATGGAATATGAAGACTGGATGTGACTGAGACTCTTTGGTGTAATTGGTGCTCTCTGTTATTATATCTAGGCTTAGTATGGATAATTATTTTATTACAGTTACTTGTACAATGGGAGATCTGCTCTTGGTGTTTTTAGATTATTGAGGTAATAGGAAAGGAAAGTACCGCATTGGCCCGATTATAGGGCGATCTTGAATATAAGGCAACCCCCATTTTTAGAAACCATGGAAAAGAAAAAATAATTGAGTGTCATAACGTCCTTTTTGTAGGTCCACAAAATCAATACTATAACTGAACAGCTTGCAGGTGGATTAGTTGCAAGAACTAGCAATGATCTTAATTGAACATCTGATGCGCATGCGTAGACGGATACTATCTGGACATTCAGGAATGCGACAGGTTAGATCAGGGGGAAGGGGCCTGTAGTCGGGTGCGATTATAAGGGGACTACGAATTTTACAACCTAATTATTAACCAAAAACCATCACCTTTTAATTGGGCCAATATGGTATTTTAACCAAGTGTTATGAAGAACCTTTTTCTTGATCATTAATTAGCTATTATTTTGTTTTTATCGCTAGTTGATTGTAGGTCACTAAGAGTGCTTACTACATAGGTTGTATCATGTGAGCATACACACTTAACACAAGTCTCTAAGTGTAAGGTTAGGAGAAACACTTGTAGATGAGTGGACTGCAATGGTGTAAAAAAATGTTTTTTTTTCACTTTTCTAGAAAGTAATGTTTTCACTCTTTAGCCGACTTTAACACTACTGTTTTGACTATAATTTCATTTAACCTTATGCACATGGGTAAGGGTCAAAGTGCACATTCCATGACCTTTCAACATGGTTTTTGACATCAGAGTTATCAACCATTCAATTTACCCTACATTACTGATTTAGTAACAGTTCATGGTAGAAGAGAGTATATACCACATACAATATACAGGGTAAGTAAAAGAAAAACCTGTAGATATACATTTCAGGGGTTTATAGAGGTTATGCAACTTTAATACGTAAACTGTATAATGGACAAAATTATTTTTATTCTTCACAAGAACATTACCTTTCACTGTGACTTGTCAGAGTCTGAGTCAGACTAATGTTATTTTACAGATATATCTAATTTTTGTATACAGCGGACTTGTACATTTTACTTGAAGCTTGCTACGTTTTGTGTAGGTACACTTTGTAAATTCAAAATTATAGTAAGTCCAATGGACCAACCCTGTGCTCATGCAGTTACCAGTTGATGAAGAAATTACAGATTTACTTTCTATGCTCTAGCATCGGTAGTGACATTTGTACATGGACATCAAAAAACTACATTTAGTTTTTTAAAAAAGTATGATGATGGAGGTTTTTATATACATATAAATAAATAAAAATGTATATGTATAATTTAAGAAGTCAGATAAGAGTAAACGGTTGGTGAAATATTGTTTTTCGTGTCATCATTGAATTAAACTGTGATTATGTGTATAATAAGGTGAGAGGTTTGTAAAGACTAAGTATTTTGAAACTATACAATATTGAATGTATTCTGTGTATAATGTTAATGAAATATAGTATTGTATTTTTGTTAAAAGAGTTAAATAAGACTTTTGAACCTATTGTGAAGCCGAGAACATTACTTAGAATAGTATATTTTTATAGTTGAGACTTTAATGTAACAAAGAAATGCATAAAAGCTGTTTGGGTTTACTTGTGCTGAAGCACAATATTCTTTGTTTCAAGGACATCCTTTAATTACTATGCACGTAGTTAGAAGTAATTAACTTTTTGTTTTCCAGGATGCTTTACATCTGTACAATTCTTTAATAATGCACTTAGTATTTTTCAACAGTTTTTACTTAACTATTTTCGTTGTCTTTCAATGTCAAGACAAGCTTTCTGGTTTGCCAATTCTTCTGAATGACAGTAAAGTTAATTCAGATAAAATAATAATTATAATTAATAATCAGTATTAGAAATAAATAATATTACGTTATTAATCCCTAACCTAATTCTGATTTGTAAAGGACTTAAATAAAATTTATAAGAATTACAATCCACTTAATGTAATTCATACCAAAATATTTGTTCATGAAATTGATGACATCATTCGTGCCTCGACCACTACTATGTCTGTTGTATTCCAGCGGGCTTGATGAACCCTGGTATTGGGTGAAAAGTCTCATCAGCACTGGATATGACATATTATTACATGTTTGTAATTTCTTTCACTCGTAAGTTCTTTGAATGATAAAGGAAAATGTTTAGTTTGTCTGTATGTGTATAGGTTTTCATACAAGCATAAAAATACTACAGTTCAAGTCTAGGTAGTAGACTTTTAGATGTAAATGACTACCCATATTTATTCAGTAATTTCAAATACAACAATATACAAACATTGCTATGTTGGTGATTTTGTTATGCATTGTAAATGACTACCTATATTCATTCAGTAATTTCAAATACAACAATGTACAAACGTTGCTATGTTGGTGATTTTGTTATGCATTGTAAATGACTACCTATATTCATTCAGTAATTATAAATACAACAATGTACAAACATTGCCATGTTGGTGATTTTGTTATGCATTGTAAATGACTACCATATTCATTCAGTAATTATAAATACAACAATGTACAAACATTGCCATGTTGGTGATTTTGTTATGCATGGCAGTGTTTCTCAGAAATGTAGTCTTTTTCTCTGTTGCATAAAATGAAATGCTATTGATTTTAAATCAAAAGTATACAAATTCATAATTGCATAAATAGATCTTAAATTACCTTACATGTTATCATTATTCTTTATGTCCTCAGAATTAATTTAATTTTTTAATTCTGAAGTGATTTAGTCAGAATTCGCTGTTGCACAGTATATTCTTTCCTTATTTGGGTTATACCAAATAGAATACATTTAAAGAATGATCTTATGCACAAGCATGCAGTTGTTAATAATTTGTAAGGCTGAGGGTTGTAAAATGGAAAAATTTTTTAGTGTTTTTGTAGCTTATAATAATTACTTCTTGAGGTGTGTATGTGGAAAAATAGTAAAATAACAGTAGCTCCAAAACATTGAATTACTGTTTAATATATATGCATGATATATTTAGATAGGTATATAAAATCTTCAGAGATATCAGTACAGATAATATTTACTTATATATATAAGCAATAAATAGGGATAAATATTAATTCAAGATATCTTTCTCTCCCAGTGTTCTTTTGAATGTTGGATATGTTACAAAAAACTCAACTTGTGTATGTGTGCACTAGGACTGTATTATCAGTTTCATTGGGGCTGTATGCAGCTGGGGATTTTTAAAGTGATTTTTCTTTATTTTATAAAAGCGTTTGGTAGTTTTGAACACCAAATCTCGAGACACCTAGCTTTCCATATTGAAATAATGACTATGTAACTTAAATTCCAAGCAGAGATGAGATTCCAATGTATTTTTTATTTATGTATTTCTGAATTTTTTTAAAAAGGTTAGTGTGTGTGTGTGTGTGTGTGAAACACCAACAACAACAGAAAGTTTTAAGAATAAACTTTTAAAGAGTTTTCTGAGGCTTGTAGCAAGGATCTTGCTCATTTTTTTAAATATTTCCCTTTCTTATTTGAATACTTCTCCATAGAAGTATGGAAACCTCATCACAGTTTCATTACTGACACAAAAAACAGCAAATAATGTTTAAGACAGTACAAATTCATAAAATTTTGCTAAGGATTGTGATGATTTAGTTAAGGATATAAGTATAATGAAAGTGATTGTAAATGTGTCACACAGATCTTGTGTTGTAAACGTGTCACATCATTATAGGTCTTATGACTTTACATATATGTGTAGGTTTTGTTATTATCATGTATAATACATTTGATAATTGTACAGATTTCATCACTAGTGAGGAAAACAATTTATAAAGTTTCTTTTCCGTTTAGGGCGCTCGACTCACAATCTGAGGGTTGCGGGTTCAAATCCCCATCCCACCAAACATGCTCACCCTTTCAGCCATGGGGGTGTTATAATGTGACTGTCGATCCCACTATTCCTTGATAAAAGAGTAGCCCAAGAGTTGACGGTGGGTGGTGATGACTAGCTGCCTTCCTTCTAGTCTTTCCCTGCTAAATTAAGAACGGCTATCGCAGATAGCCCTCATATAGCTTTGTGCGAATTTCAAACCAAACCGTTTTTCACCTGTTTCCATGTTGAGATCTGTTAATTAAGCGAGATTAACAAAGTTGTGTAGTGATAAAAACTCCGTCTATTCATTATTGTATAAAAAGAAGGTAGTTTGTACAGATGTCTATATTTAACAGACAGATATGATTAGTAACAAGTTTTAAATTCACCAATAAAATTGGTTATTCTTGCAGGACTCAACCAATTAGTATTTTAATAACAAGTCATTTTGATAGAACCTATTCTGACACCAAAGACTATTTGGGAAAAGTGTTAACAGCCTAGCTAACGGTTATTGTATACACAGGAACTGTGAATATAATTTTTATTATCAGCATCAGTTGTAAGATTTTAAGATATTTTAGTAAGTATGCACTAACTACATTACCAGGGGAGAATTCATCAAATTAAGATGTGATTACAGGTTAAGAAACAGGGGAAGAATTCATCAAAATAAGATGTGACTACAGGTTAAGAAAGATGGAAGAATTCATCAAAATAAGATGTGACTACAGGTTAAGAAACAGGGGAAGAATTCATCAAAATAAGATGTGACTACAGGTTAAGAAAGAGGGAAGAATTCATCAAAATAAGATGTGACTACAGGTTAAGAAACTGTAAAAGTTGAGTTCATCATTTTACCAACCAGAAAATCAATTGTACAATGGTAGAATCAACATTTTTATTATAACTGTATGTAATGATGTAGGTAAGTCGGATTTTCCATAGGGTCGACTGTCTTTATATATATTCTAAAAAAAAAAAACGACTATGAGGTGCTGAGACAGTTGAACGTTTCTTGTAGTAAGAACAAAGAATTGACAGTTAAGAAGTGTGGACAGTCACTAGAGTACCATTAGTAGTCACAATGTTTTGTTTCAGAGTGCATATATCTAATCCTCCACAACTTTTACAATAATGAGAGTAGTTTTAAATAGTTTAATGTATAATAGCACAGTATTTTTTAATTGTGTAATGTTTGTTACGGGTGTAAATCAACGACTTGCTCGGAATTCTTAGACTTATTCAGGAAGTGGCTGTTTTGTATTAATCGAGTTCGTGTTTTCATCAGACGTGTTTGTGGTAAATGTTATTCCAACTGAGGGTTATGATAAAAATTACCAGCTGTTTAGTGTATTCTATAATACTCTATTTTTCTTTTTTTATCGTTCACAAATGTGTATCTGAGAGTTTGTTGGCAGGGGGAACATACTTATTTTTGTACAGTTTTGTTGAAATAATATAAATATCAGTGGTTTGTGTATACTGTTATTTTTGTGTACATGAATAGAATAGGTCGTGTACTAGTTATTGGTTTACACATTAAATATAATTGTGCCTTACGCAGGGACTGTGAATTATCGAGCGTTTGTACATTTTGTGTATGAGAATCCTACAATAAAATCTAATTTGAAATCGTGTCTGAAATTATATTTAAAATTCCTGTAACAATTTGTTGAAATTATGGTTATCTTAAAAAAAAATGAAAGGGGAGCTCACGTCAGTTAATTACATTTTTGACCAATGTTAACAGTATTAAAAACGCATTGTAGGAATTTATATATAAAAAAAAATAGCTGCAAAGATTAAAATTATTAATTATGTCGTAATTATTACCGTAAATGACATTCATACGCAATATAAGATGTGGATTCGGGATAATATTGAACAAATTATCCATATTCCTGGTCAGAATTCATTGTTTCTTTAAAAGTATACGTTTTGGAAAGAATGGATATTTAATATTGTAACTGTTTATTGATAATGATCTTGTTGGTGTTTTAGCGCAAAGCAACACAGTGAGGTACCTGTCTACTGTGGGGAATCGAACCCTGGAATTTAGTGTTGTAAGTTTGGAAAATTACAACTGAACCACCAGGGGAAGATAATGATCTTAATCCTCGGTCAAGCAGGGATCATTAGTTGAGTCAGTCAATTTTGATAGAGACGTAATAAATAAATTTGGAGATGGCATTAAATGGTTTAAATTATTCCATTACAATATCCCATTTAATCTACTGGTATTGTTGAGTAGTTGGTGCTGCCATCTTTTTGATTATATTGGTACTAATGTGAACTTTAATTAAGCGAATACAGATTTTAGTAATGTATTGTTAATAACTTCCATACGTCCTAGAACAGTGTTTTACAATAGGCGGATTTCATCAGGGCTTCGAAAACATGATTCTTGGACCGCTTTATGATCAGATTTTTTTACTGATAATTTACTAATGTCCTAGTTTGTTTTTTCTTCTAACTTTGCTGGAGCCGCTACTGTGATTCAAGATAGTATTACTGATGAAAGTCCAGCGCAACTAAAGTATGTGGTTCAAGATAGAGTATTACTGACGAAGGTCTGTCACAACTAAAGTAGCTTTGAAATTCTAAATGGTAGTAAAATATAAAAATTATTAACATCCCCTCCCCCATATATATTAACTTTATTCTCAGGATGTACTAAGTACCATGTCTTTAAAAGTAATCAAAAGCTAAAAAATATTTAAACAATAACTTGCTCTGGGCCCTTCAGTGGTTCAGTTGTAAGTCTGAAGGCTTATAACGCTAAAAAAAAACCCAAAGAAACCCGTGGTGGACACAGCACAGCTAGCCCGTTGTGTAGCTTTGTGTTTAAGAACAAACTAACCAATCAGCGTTCTGTGCAACATCACAAGTTCGAACATGTATTCAGTAAGTTATGATAAAATTTTTTTGTACACTGGAGTAGATTATCTAAAGTAAATACAACATTTAGAAGTGGGTAAACTTTAAATTCACAGTTCTATTTAATATTCTAATGGACAACTAATCACAGTATTAACTGCAGGATAACATCTGTTGGTTCTTCTTAAAAGCATTAGCTCTTCAAAAAAAAAAAAGAGTCACCCGGTAAATCGGTTGTAATTTTTCAGACTCACAAAGCTAAAAAGTTCGGATTCCGTTCTCCACAGTGGACAGAGCTCAGATAGCCCATTGTGTAGCTTTGCGCTAAAAAAATGTACTTTTACATTGAGGTTGCCTGTTGGTGGCTAAGCGGTAAGCTTGGCAATTTATTCAACACAGATAGCCCAATGTGCAACTTTGTGCTTAATAAAAAATGCATTAGTAAGAATAAGAATGAATGTTGTGATAACTGTACATCATTTGTTCAAAATTGTTTTCACAACAAACTAATATGTTAACGATTTTCTATTGATAACTCGGGAAAGAAAAAACGTTTTGTTGAAATTCAATTCCAGTCATCTCCGTAACAAATACGTTATTGTCTGTAAGGTTAGGTGCGCTCCAAAAACGATAATTAGAGCATTATCAGTAGTTAGGAAATCCTGGAAAAACTGTCTTTCTTGTCTGCTGAAGAATCGATTTCCTTGTACATAGTACATCATGTAAAAATTGGCAAGAGATAATTAGGAAATCCTGGAGAAAAAAGTTTTATCTGCCCCAGATTCGATTTTCCTTCTACATACATCCTGTAAAAATGTAATGAAAATATCTTTTTTTTTCTGCTCAAAATTACATAGCACGTCATCGCCTGCAGGAGAAAAATAAAATTTAAACACTTCTATGTAAAAAGAATAATAAATTCATCCACTTACAGTAAAATATAAGTTTCGTGAATTTCAATAAGGGTTTCGTGAATTTCAATAAGAGTTTCGTGAAATTTCAATAAGGTTCTTGTGATTTTAATAAGAGTTTCTTAAAACACTTCACGAAACCCTTACTTAAAATTACAAGAACTCTTATTGAAAATCACGAAAATCTTATTGAAAATCACAAGAACCCTTATTGAAAATCACAAAACCTGTATTGAAAATCATATATAACTCGTTGGCTTCCAAACAATTCTCGTGACAAAGATTTTGTAAAAATATAGCTGTAATATTACAACGCATGTTTGTTTACAGATTTCGTAGGATCTTTAAGTGTTATAGATGCGAGTTCTGACTTCTTTCACAAATAAATTCCTAGTCAGTATAGTTATATCATTTAAATATTATTTACAACTCGTTATAAAACTATTATTATCTATAGTTTCTCAAAGGTCATAATTCCGTTTTTTATTTCAGTCAATTTACTACTTAATTTTTGCAAGATTTGATAGATGACACTATATGAAAATATGTGACAGTATATATATGTTATTGGTTGAGAGAAGGTCCGAGACGAGTATGCTTAAAAGGTGTTGTTAATGGACTACAACTGTCTGGACGGGTTTGAACGAAGCTGTTATTATTGTTGTTCTTTAGTTTTATACTTGACTAAAGAATTAGTTATATATATATATAAAATTGTAAGCAAAAAATTAACTTTTTACGTTTCGAATTAGACCTGCAGCAACTTATACAGTAGCTTATTTTACAATGAATGAGTAAAAGAAACACCAATTCATTTTATGTAAATTAGAACTTCTTTGAAGTATATTCAGCAAATATTTTTCTTTTTGATTTATAACTCTAAATTTTAGATTTTAATTCCAACTTTCTCGTAATTCAGCTAGGTATGTTTGTTTGATTGGTTCATACTTCATTGTTTATAAATTTCTAAACTTAAAGAGGTCATAAATTGTTAATCTGCAAAAAAGGCTCAAAAATACTCAATGTCACAGAGACGTTTATATTATAAATTAATACCGAAAATTTAACTTCAACTGGCCAAAAATTAATGCATCACAGCTGTTCAAAAGTCATCGAAACATTTGATTCAAAATACAAAAACTTTATTCCCAATTCTCGAAGTTTTCCCACAGTCACACAATGGAGCACGACTGGACGTGGCGACATGCACAGTAACTACGTGGTGATGCTCCAAAATCGTTTTAGTATAATACATTTAATTCTGCATATGT